TGTTACAGTTGTGGGAAAATGACTGAAGCCTAGATGCCAGGTCAGGACCAATGACATTGCAGATTCTTCTTTGGAATTTATCAAGGATCTCTAAATAGTGCTCAACCATATATAGCAGCAATATTCAAGGCTTGGATGAATGGTAGACATTCACACTTTCACACAACGACCTTTAGGAAAGGCATAAATCCATCCTTTCTCTCCTCCCAGCTGTTGGTTAAGTAACAGAGCAGGCTGGGCTCTCTAGCCTTTATTGGCAACCAATCTATAATTGATGACATAAAAAAATATTAAAAAAAAATATACCTGTCCATCAGCACTTTGGACTACTCATGGGATGTGTCAGCCTGCAAAAATGCACAATGACTGAAATTTGTAAGTTATGTGAGTTGCACAATCTGCCACGGGCAGCATAATGTCTAGTTTTACTAAATTTAAACAAGTGTGGTACAAGGTTAACTGTAGAGAGGTGAAATTGGGGAATAAGATTATATTATGCTATCATGAAAATCAACACTTGAAATTCTGGTTTTTCCACCAGAGCTTAAATACCAACCACTTACACTTATCAACAATGCACAACCACTTCAGGATTGACAGTGCAGGTTTTAAAACTTTTTAATATAAATCCAAAATTTATTGAAATAAAAAAAGTAAAATTACAAATTAACTAAATATTTTTTTAAAAAATCACTTTTTTTCCATCCTGTTAACAAAGAAGAATTTTTTAAATTCATAAATTATTTTGGGAGCAATTTTCTTAAGTGTACAAATTGTTGGTATTTCTCAGATAGCAAGCATAGTTTATTTAAAATGTTAGAATTTGCATTTTTGTAGAAAACAAATATAAGATATTTCACTTTTACTAAGAAAACAAAAAATAATGTAATTTTTTCAACAAAAGAGAATTAAATTTCAAGACTTTCAACTTTTATATTTCAAATTGATCAGTGGAAAAATTTTCTGCCAATTTGGGTTTTTTCATGTGACATTTACAACCAAAATCTTAAAATATTTCCTTTATAAAACGAATTTACCATCAAAAGAAGTATGGCAATATTTAAGTAATTTTCAAATTGCATTCAAATTATAAAGTATCAAAAATGTTATTGCCCTGCATTTTTTCCTTCACACATTCTAATTTATTATGCAAGTTAAAATGTTTTTTAAAACCATAAAATTGTTTTTTTTAATCAACCAATTAACATTCTCAGAATATGCTAATTAATATTTTATAAGAGCAATAATATGTGAATTTCAGTTTGCAATTGTTTTTTATTAAAAATATTGAAAATACTTATTTCCAGGGTGTCAGACTTTAATATGCAAAAATGTAACAAATTTTTAAAGACGAAACATTAGTTTAAAAAAAAAAAAAAAAAAAAAAAAAAAGAATGTTTAAAAATACGCAACAAAACATAACTTATGCAGGATTGGTGATACTCGTTATTATGAAATTGTTTTTTAACCAGAAAATCGATTCCCCTCCTTAAACATCAAGTTCTAGTTTTACACACTCTGAGTTTAACTTAGACAGAAAACATCCTTAGAGAGAAAAATTACTTTTTAAATCAATAATCGCTATTTAATTTTTTTTTTTAAGCAATTAGTCAGTGATCAGAAATGATTATGTTGTATCCTTCGTTTTCTGACCTTAATTACCTCGGGGCCCTTTTTGGAGGTCTACAGTTTTTTTTAGCGTTTTTAGTTTCTGTTTTTTACTTTACAGACTGCAAGTAATCTCAACAAACCTTCAAAGTTTCACCGAAAAATCATTTTAGACATGAATAAACTAACAAAACATCCCAATAGAGAATAAATCCTAACGTCTAATTATCTTCAAAGTAATTTGTTTCCAAACTTGTTGTTCTCGAATTTTAAACTTGTCTCTTTCCTGTGTTGTTTCATTTGAAGAAAAATTCTTCGGTTAAAAATTTGTCAAGTTCTAAATTTTAATTTTCTGAGAAAAAATAATTAGGTCGTTTTCTAGTTCTTTCTTTATCTAGAAAAAAAAAAAAGTTTTTATTGTAATCAGTTATTTTTTAAAGTAAAATTTTTAACTTGATTATTTAAAATCATTTTTCTCAATAATCCATAAAAGTGAAAGAGAAAATGAGTTTTTTTTTTAAAAAAAAGATCTTATTTTTCTTATTTAGTCCTTAATTTTTTTAAAACAAAGTAAATTAAGTAAAAATTTATTTTTAATAAATGATGATTCATCAGAAATAATATTCAATCATTCAAATATCTACTTCTAATAATTTTCAATAAATGAATAAGAAATTATTTTTTCAACAAAAAATGAATCACTTTCAATTTCATTTAATTTTCTTTTAGTTTTTTAATTTCTTCCTAGTAAAAAAAAGTACTAAAAAGTAAAAGTTTCCTGTTAAAGTTCAATTCTGTCATTTATTTTACTATTATTATTCAAAGTGGAAAGCATCAATTTTTATACGACTTACGTTTTTTTTTTTTTTTTTTCTGGGAATATTTTTTTTTTTCTTCACTGATTAAATCGCCAGTTAATCGACAATAAAAAAAATGATAAGCGAAAAAAATGAACGTCATTAATAATGTCATTATATTCATTACCTGTCTTAAAAAAAAACTATTTTTTAAAAGAAAAATTAAAGAAAAACAAATAATTCGGTTATTTCAGAAAGTCTCAGTTTTGTTATTTATTTCAATTCTTTTGCCTTCTTATGGTTTCTTTGGCTGACAGTTAAAAAAAAAAAAAAAAATTATGAAATTGGTCTTTTTTTTATTCTTCTTCTTTAACCAAGATAACTATTTTGAATATTGATCACCAGCAAAGATATTATTTTCCTACATGTGAAATAAGATTTCAAGAAAGAAAAGAAACAAAGAAAATGTCGAAAAAGCTTGTAAACAAGATTTCTGATCAGCCATTGCCACGTGCTGCACTTGTTTTTCTAAGAGAAAAATATTTACTACGAAAATAGACACAAATTTATGAGTTTGTGTCCCAAAATTTCTGCGCCATATTTCAATTGTTTTCTATGTGCGTTTTGGCAGCATTTCTGGGACAATGAAACATAGCAGTTGTCGAGTTATGTTTTCTCGCGTTTCATATTGCATGTTTGGCCTTATTATAAACTTTTAAACAGCATTTGTCGTCGTCTTTCTCAGGTTTTACAGAGAAATATTTACAAATAAATATAAATAAGACAAAAAAAAATTTTAAAAATAATATAAAAATACTGAAGGAAAATTTAACAAAAATAAAAATCTGTTAGAGCTGGCAATGAAAGTAAATGAAAATACGAGTTTTTTTTTCAAAAGAAGTATATTAAAAAAAATCATTGCGTGTCTTTTTGTTGAAATGGTGTGGATGTGTGCGCGCGCTTTTGACCTAAAAAAGTGAAAAGTTCTAAACAAATTGTACTCGCAATGTGAGACAGAGTAAAAAAAATTCACGACACTCAGCGCACTTTATATTTTACAAATTAAATTGTAGCTTTAGGTACACAAACATATATATTTATTTGTATATAAAATTTATCACCAGACCTCTCCACCCCGCCACCGACTGTTACAAAAATGTGGCTGTCAAATACATAGATAGATATTAATTACATATGTCTCTACTTATTTGTGTGTGTGTGCGTCACACGAAATTTGTGGCATGAGGCGGCGTCACGTGACAGGGTCAAGTGAGGCCGGGTAAATAACAAAATGGTGGACTGAGACAACGCGAGGAGTTGGCATGCTTTACTTCTCTTATTCATCATCTCAAGTAGAATGTCTAGCGCCAGACACCTACACCTAAAAGGCTGAAATTGTTTGCTGCTATGATGTGACGCCATTTCCGAGAGAGATGACCATTCTTACTTTTTGACAGAGGTAAAAAAAAAAAAAAAAAAATATTATTTGCTAAAAAGCGAACAATAACAACATCGACATTTTGGGTTGTTAGTGCCAAAAAAAAAAAAATTTCTTGTTGCGAAAATTCAAAAAAAAAAGAAAGAAAAGACAAACGGTGTCTTTTGTTTTCTTCTTCCTTCAAGACAAAGCATTTAACAAAATCGTGAACTCGATTCCATACTCGACATCGATCGATTGGAATTGTTCGATGATTTCATTTTTCTTCTCATTTGTTCGACTGATTGATCTCATTTTCTGCAAATCAGCAACAAACTACCATTTACGCCATTTCAACAGCATCTCACCTTTCTTATAAAATTTCCCATTTATTTGAAAAATAAAATCATTTTAACGTTTTTGTGCATCAAAGTCAGCAACTAAAACCCAAGTGTGTTTTTTTTATCCTCTTTCCAATTACATTATTCGGCACATCGAAAAAATCCAGACTCCAGCAATTATTATTAACCCTAAATTCCATCAACAAAAATCTATAAATAATCCTTTTTTTTTTTTTTATTCATTCATTAAACACTTCAACTAACTCTATAAATAAACTACGGTCTGGTTGGATACAGCAGTTGAGACGGAACCGGACCGGAAGTGACGATATAAATGAACAGATAACGTGAAATCCGGTAGCGCCGATAGATGGCGCCACTTCCGCTCTTTTCTAACGGAGATAGGAACGTTAACTTCCGTGTACACTTTTGTGTGTATGTTGAGATTAGATTGGGACTGCGTATGCAAATAATACGGCCAAGGAGCGGGAGCACACACACATACGTACACTGAACTCTGTCCCAGTGCAAGAGAGACGGGCCAACACGCGATACATTTGACTGGGAGCCGAAGAGGAATTTACAGAACTGACGAAAAGAAACTCGAGGAAAAGGCTTGAACACTTTAACGACGGCGTTCATTGTGAGTACTACTGCCAACAACAACAACAACGAGGAGGGAGGACAGTTTTTCCCCCAACCCTTCTCTCCAGATGATTACCGTCACCGTCGTTGTGTGCTGTGTACAGTTGTGATCACGGCACGTATCGAACGGACTCGGCTCGCTTCTCTTTCTTTCTTTCTCTTTCAGCTTCTTTCTAGCAAATTATTCTCAGTATGTCCTTTCCACCCGGTCCACCGATGGGGCTACCTCCGATGGCCCCCGGTATGATGACTCAGGGCTACACGTTCACTCCAATGGGTATGGTACCTATGGGAGTGAGCATGATCCCTCCTACTTCGGTTATGAGACCGATAATTACGTCCAGTTCACCTGCCGCGGTGGCTGTAGCGGCAGCCACGGCCGCCTCTTCGGCTGCTGCCGCCGCCGCCGCCACCTCTTCATCTACTAATAGTAACAACACTAATATCATCCTTCACACAGGCTCTTCTGCTAATAATTCGAACCAACGACATTCCCACCACCATCATCACCATCACAACAACCATAAGAAACTCATCCCCCAGGAGATTCCAAAAACTGACTCCGGAAAAAAAGAAGAGAAACCGCCCGTGACCACGGTGTTTGTTGGGAATATAAGTGAGCGAGCACCAGACACGATGATACGCGAAATGCTTCAACGTTGTGGCAATATTCTTAGCTGGAAAAGGGTACAAGGTGCATCAGGCAAATTACAAGCCTTTGGATTTTGTGAATATGAGGATCCAGAATCCACACTGCGTTGTATCCGCCTGTTAAATGAATGGGAGATCATTGACAGGAAACTGGTTGTTAAAGTAGATGCAAAAACAAAAACTTTACTTGATGAATACAAAGCAAAAAAGAAAGATGATGTCCAGAAACCAAAACCTGAAACAGAAAAAGTTAAAGCTGATGAAGAAGAAAACAAAGATCAAGCCGAAGACAAAACATCCAATGATGAGAAAGAGAAAAACGAGTCTGCCACACCTGTCTCTGAATCCAGTAACAATTTGGACCAGATCACAGTCCGAGAGGATCAAGTTACCAAAGCCGGTTTAGAAGCAATTATGAGAGAATACGCAGATGAGTTGTCAAAGGAACCTCCTGTTGACCAGGAAAAAGAGGCAAAACAAAGCCAGAAAAAAGTTAAAGAAGAAAAAGTTCAAGCTGACAAGGGACTTGATGACATGGAATTAGAAGAAGAGAAAAAAGAAATAATCAATCGAGAAATAAAAAGCTTTCGAGATCTGCACAAAGAGGATGAGAGTAATGAAAAAAGCCGGAACCGAGAACGACGAATGCACGAAGAACGTCTCAGGCGGGAGAAATTAAGAAAAGGCAAAATGTATGAGAGAGATCATAGAGAACGCAGCTGGTCAAGAAGTGTTTCCCGTTCCAGATCTCGCTCTCGATCTCGGTCAAGATCACGCCGGGATCGATCACGAGACAGCTCCAGGGAAAGATCCCGCGACAGATCCCGAGAACGGTCAAAAGACAGGGACAAGAGAACTCGAGACCGGGATCTAGAAGATGAAGAAGAAGCATATGAACGAAGGAAACTGGAAAAGAAACTTCGTGAAAAGGAAGCAGCATATCAAGAAAGACTGAGAAACTGGGAAGCACGTGAAAGGAAGAAAGGCAAAGAATATGAAAAAGAGAAAGAACGTGAAGACGAACGGAAATCAGAGGAAGCCAAAGAAGCTCACAGGCTGAAAGAGTTTTTAGAAGACTATGATGACTTGAGGGATGACCCCAAGTTCTACAGGGGGAGTGCCTTAACAAGACGCTTGAAAGAGCGAGAAAAAGAAAAAGAAGCTGATGCTCGAGATCGGCAAAGAGAAAAAGAAGAACTGGAAGAAATTCGTCGTCGACTGATGGAAGAGGGACATGTGGATCCAGACGGAGAGGTTGCTAAAATAGAAAGAGAAAGGGATGAACATTTAAAACCGCGGCTGCATTTACTGCCACCATTACCTGAACCAAAATCTAAACGGGACACAACACGCACCCCAAAGAGAGAAGCCAAAGGGGATCATCACCATCATCATCATCACCATCACCATCATCATCATGACGATGTTACCAACAAATCTGGGTTAGCCCCTCGAATGCAGGCAACTCTGAAACCAATTGAAATTGCCCCCAAAATAAATAATTCTCATACAAGTAGTTCCGCATCTGAGAGTGAAGGTAAAGAAAAACTGTCAATTGTTGCCGATGAATGTGGTAGAGATGACAGTGGTGGAGATGATGACAATGACGCTGCCAGTGCCAATTTTAGTGGCACCAGCACACAACCAGTTTTTGGACCTGCCATAAAAGAAGAGTCATTTGCAAAGATTGGCTTCAGTGCAATGAGATTACGAACTTCTGACAGCCCCAGCGACAGTGGCACCTCAAAACGTAAGAAAATGACTGTTGGTGATGTTTTCAGTCAGGATGATGAGGGTTCTGAGGCACCTCAGAAGAAACGCAAACTCGTTCCATTGGATTACGATGAAGAAAAACCTGAAAAGAAAACAGCAACATCAACAGAAGAGAAAAGGCAACAAATTAAGCGCCTTATTGAACGCATTCCAACAGGCAAAGATGAACTTTTTACCTATCCCCTTGATTGGAATACTGTTGACCAAATGTTGATGGACAAACGTATAAAACCTTGGATCAACAAGAAAATTGTTGAGTATATTGGTGAAGAGGAACCAACTTTGACTGAATTTATTTGTCAGAAAGTTGTTGGTCGAAGTTCCCCATCAAGTATTTTGGATGATGTTGCCATGGTGTTGGATGAAGAAGCTGAGGTATTTGTTGTTAAAATGTGGAGACTTTTAATATATGAAACAGAGGCTAAGAAAGCCGGACTTGTGAAATGAACAGTTTCACTCAGTGTTTTATTTTATTTTTATTTTTTTTTTAAGCATTATTCATCCTTTTCATTTTTGAAAAGGTAAAAAAAAGATATCAGCTATTTTAAATGCCAGGAATTTTTTGGGCGGGAGGGAGAGTATCTTTTAAACAGTAATCAATAATTCTGTGCGCTGTATAGAATTTGACTCTAAAAGACTTAAAAAAAAAAAAGAAAATGTTAAATTTTTTTGACAGATAAATTTTAATAATTTCACTGAGGATGACTACAAAAACATTTCTGTGGAAAATAACCTTTGTAAAAAGCAAACTTTTTTTTAAAAAAAATTTAAATTAAAAAAAACAATTTTGGACAGTTTTAAATTAAACAAAGTGTTAAACTGAATTTGTTCTGAAAAAAAAAACAAAAGCTTGGTTGATTAAGGAAAAAATGAGTAAAAAATCTTCCTGCCTGAATGTAACATAAAATTTGCTGCAGTGGTTTGTTTAAGACAAAACTAGATTTCCAAGTAAATTGGAAAAGAAGCAATGCAGAAATTTAACAAAAGAATAAATAGTTTAGGCTTGCAAGTTTGAATTTTTTTATTTCTTCTAAGTAAGCATTTTTATTTTTGTGCTGTGTTTAGCTTCCAAGTTTATTTTTCAGGTAAATTATAATGACTTTTGTTTGTTTTTCCTTTTTTTTTTTTTTTTAAGTATTTTATGTGTATTTTTTTTTCTTTTTTTCTAGTTATTAGCAATGCAATCCTTTGAAGGTAGCTTTTCAAAACTTTACCCCTCATGTTTGCTGCTCAAGATTTGTGGCATCTTACCCGAAAACAAACTTTGACAAATTTCCATTGAGGAGGCTAAGATAGAAATGCATTTGACCAAAGTTGTAACAAGACCCAGCCAGGTGGAAGCAAAATAACTGGTATTATTTTTCCTGAAAGTTCTATTGCAATTTCATACCTCATCCCTAACACCATTAACATCACAGCTATCCTGTCAACAAAAAATGTCCTCATGTTGTAAATATATATATATTCATAAATGATTGCTGATGTTCACATAATGGTGACAAGATTTGACAGATTTTCATGCTTTAGAGAGAGAAAAAATTTCAAAGAAATTCCATTGCTTTAATTCCAAATCAAATGTAAATAGCTTTTCTATACAAACTCTTGTATATAACTGAATCCCCAATACATGAGGGGACTCTGTGTGTGTGTGTGTGTGTAGAGGTATATGTTTATGTTCATTTGTAACAAGATAAACATTCTAATGACTTGGGCATTAATATATACACCCACTCAAGAACATCTGACAGTTTAATAAACTTTTTTCCCCGAAACTCATCTTACATTTTATTTAAACTTGTATAATGAACATTTCCAAAGTACCAGGATATTTATAAACTCTACAATTGCTAGAAATGCTCACCATATACTCACACAACTCACTGTGTATATGCCATGTTTAATATTTATAATACACTCATGTACATGCACATACACATGCATAAATCACCAAGTAAATTTAGTTGCCTCAATTGATGCATATATTATACACATTTCTTTTAATTTTTTTTTTCTTATTCCATTCCAGTCCCAAAGATGATAACTTATTCAAAGAAGTTTTTTCTAATATTTGAATGCTGTTTATTTGACCCTTTATTTCCCTGTGCAGTTAAACAGGGCCAGAGTATCTCATGCTGTTCACTTGCACATATTCCATATGAATTGTCCATTGAAGGAACCCTTTACTAGCATTCAGCAGTTTATTAAGCACTAAAATGAAATTTTGACACCACTGTATTTTCTCTCTAACAATTTGTTTTTTTTTTTTTATTATTACCCTTTTTTGAGACTGGTAGGGGGATTTTTGTTAAATACCAATTCCTTCAAAATAATTATTCCACAGCTTAATTTTTTCCAGTTTTTTTTTTTTACATTTAAAAAGCCAAATAAATCAAATCCTGTTGAAATGTGAGACAGTGATGAGGAAAACAAATGAAGTTGCTATGAAATATTTTTGATCTAGAATGGAAACAAAGAGGTTTATTTGATTCTCGGCCTTTATAACACCAAAATTTGAGTTCTTGATTTTTATTATCCTTTCTCGGTTTAACTTTGTCAAATGCTTTTCTCCTTTTCCATTAGGCAGACATGTGTTTGCGTAAATATGATCCTTCCCAGCATGCCTTACTCATTAATGAAAGCAGACTGTTAGGAAAGTTTGTCTTGTGTCAATTGCAATGTTTTCAGGTTTTTCATTTGCCTTTTTCTGAAATTATACCAAGCATTTAGTAACTATAAATATCTCATCTAGGTAAAATAGTGAATGATTAGTCAGAACATTACTGACTTATAAACTGTGTTTTGCATGAACAAGAAAGAATCTGAAATGTTTTATCAAGTCTGCCCTCCTGTAAAATGCAGACTCCAGATAGCGATGCAGAAAAGACCATCACCTGTAACCCTGCAATTGAAAATGATTTGTAAACCCCCAAAGGCATAGTCCTACACTAATCCTAGCTCATTCCAACTTGTAAATTTCCTGATTTTGTTTTTTGTTCTATTCATGGATCCAAAACATTTTCTATCAGTTTACACAAAAGGCAGCATATGATTAAAATAAAAATCTATGAAAGCTCAAAGTAAAAATGATTTCAGTTTTTGTTGATTTTGAAATTGTGCATTTTATTCTTTCATGTTTTTTTAGAGGCCAGAAAAACTTGAATTTAAATTGAACAAATTGCAAAAATTATTCAGATTCTTTCTCCACAGATTTGAATCCTACCCCAAGAAACAAGAATTTCTCCATTTTTAACAGACTTAAAACTTTAGTGTTGCTCCAAATCAAAACTGCTTCCATAAAAATGACTCACCTTTTTCCTATTCATATTTCTAGATATATGAAAATCTTTTCAAATGATTTAAACTGTTTTCATAAAATATTAGATCTCATGCATTCTTTTGGAACTTTAATATTTTTAGCAGTTAAATTGTGTTGCTTTTATGGATTTAACTTGTGATAATATTAAAATTTTATTTTACACAAGTAAAACTTTAAAAATAGTTTTTTCTCTACATTTACATTTGGTTGAGTATATTTGCCTGCTTAAATTACAATTAAAAGCCTTGTTTTGATTAAAAAAATAACTTTATTTTAGACAGAAATAAGAAAGCTTCGGTTATTTTGCAGTCACATTTATTTTTTCTTTTAATCCATTAGAACAAAACTCAATGTGCAGGTTGATCCTAAGTTATTCAAATTTTCATACTTACTGGGAGAGGTGGCTAGAAATTAAGATTCAAAAAAAGTAAGTGTATTTCATTATCCCCAGATGTTATTTTCTTAGGTTGGACTTCAAAAATTAGAACCATTTAAATTCTTTTTTGACATACAAAAGAATTTAAACTGTTCCAATTTTCTAAGTCATAGAAGAATGAAGTTTGTAAATAATACGATAACTATTAACTAATTTTGTGAAAAGATCTGAATAATCATCTCATAAGAATGATTTCCTTGTTTTCAGCGCTGGGTTTAGATTGTTTAATGAACCAATTTATATGAAAACATTTTTCTATCAAATCAAGCAACTTTGAAAATCTTTGGATGTTTCTCACTAAATCAGCTTTTTATTTGCAAAATAAATTTTTGCACTCTTTTCTCTTGTTTTGTAGAACAAACTATCTCACTGTATGCATGTGATGCTATTTGAAAATATTACAACATAATATTGAATGAGAACTTTGCTCCAACATTTTCCAAAAGTACAAAATTTCCTTTTGTAGGAAGTTAAGAATCCTTATCTAAATCATTTGTGTTTTTCAAATCTACAAATATGATATTACATTTCCTTTTCAAACTAACTTATAGGTTTGAGCAACAGTGTTGAACTTTCACTTTATTTCCATCAAACATGGAGAGAGAGTAAATATTGGTAGTTTGTGAGATAGATGAAAAGATTTTCTTGTTCAATAATTGTTTTCTTTGTTTTCCATAATCAGAATAGAAAAAGAAACAAAAATATAATAGACTAAAGAAGCATGAATTTCCCAATTCCAAACAGACAAACCGTTTTAGTGCCTGACATTGTAAAACTGCACACATCTGTCTTCAGGTTTTGATAAGAGTCGACTTCTTAAATAAGGACAAAAATGATTCTCTTTTTCTTAATGGATTTAGAAATTCCTCATTTGTAAGAATTTGGTTTATTTTGGGGTCCATTTGTAGATTTAGGTACCTTATTTAGTAGTTTATAGAATTTGCACTCTGCATCCAATACACAGATATTATAGACAGGAAGTTAATGAACAACAATTACTCTTGTAAAATGATGCTTCTCAGAGGAGGACAGTCATTTTTTTTATATTAAACATGTGTAAGTTTGTATGTTGTCATATATGTATAATTGAATGACAAAATAGAAAAAAACTTCTACTTTACTGGCCTCATTCGACTTTCTACTGCTTTTCCTTTTATCACAGTTTTTAAATATCCCACACTGTAATAGGAATAGTTTTCTTACATAAAAATATCTGTTGTAAGAGCCTGGATATAAATTGACTGAAAAATTCCCAAATTAATTCACTTTCAGTACATTTTTTTTTTACCTAAAAAAAACAAAAAAACTTTCCCTTTTAATTGTATTCTTTAAGTTGAAATTCTATTATGATGAACAGCTAATGCATTGTTTTGTAAAAGATCCCTTTGGTGTTTATAGAAGTTCTTAATTTCTCATGGTTTCATTTATGTATCTCTAAGGACATCTTTTATAGTCTGTTTTTATTTTTAATTTAAATTTAAAGCTGAATGTCCTTGTATCCTCAGCATTTCCCAATATAGAATTGTAACTCCATGAAACCATTATTATCCTGAAGCAATCCTTTTATAGGATGAAATGCATAATACAGGTTTTTATTTCCATTTTGTCTTTCAATCCCCAGCCCTCCGTTGGTCTGATTTTATATATATATATATATATATATATATATATATATATATATATATAATGAGAGAG